TGTGTGTGTGTGTGTGTGTGTGTGTGTGTGTGTGTGTGTGTGTGTGTTTGAAAAAAAAATGCTTTGACTTCCCCACACACACACACCCCAGGGAGGAACAGCCTTGCCAGGCCATAGAGGAGGACACTGCAGCCAGTCCTGATGAGACCTGATTAGCTAGGGTCAGATGAAAGGGGAGGAGTGGACTATCAGTGGACTTGGAAAGGAGCAGGGAGGAGATGAGGGAGGGAGGGTGGGGTTAGGAGGGAATGAGGGAGGGGGCTACAGCTGGGATACAAAGTAAATCAGCCATAATTAATATAAAAAATAAAAATTTAATTAAAAATGCACATAAATTTGTAGACACTTCATACTTGTGGACATAGAGCATGCAATTACATTATTAGGATGTATGTGTTTAAAAGAAATGGGAGTCTTGTGGAAGAGTAGGAGGAAAGATTGAGGGAGTCAGAGGAGTCAAGGAGACTACAGGAAGATCTACAGAGTCAAATAACCTGGGCCCATGGGGTCTCACAGTGACTGAACCACCAACCAAAGAACATGCATGGGCCAGACCTAGGCCCCCTACACATATGTAGCTTGGTCATTATGTAGGTCTCCTAACAAAATGACAGTAGGGCCTTTCTCTGACTCTGTTGCCTGCCTCTGGATCCCTTTCCCCTAGCTGGGCTGCCTTGTCAGGTTCAAGTGAGAGAGTATGCAGTTAGTTCTGCTGTAACTAGATGTGCTAAGGCAGGTTGGTACCCCTTGGGAGCTTCCCCTTTTCTAAGGAGAAGGGGAGGGAGGAATGGAGGGAAGGATTAAAACGGTGGAACTCGGAGGATAGGAGGAAGGGGTCTGTGATCAGGCTGTGAAGTGATTAAATAAATTAATGAAAAAAATAGATAGATACGTAGATAGAAATTCTCATCTAAATTTCCTTTAGTCATGCTGCTGATTCTGTTCTCCTGGCTCTTTTACATTAGATTCCATCAAAAGTAAATGCAGATAAGATTAAGAGAATTTTGTAATCTCAGCTCATTGACCAAAATTATTTTGAATAAAAAAATGCCCTTGTACTCTACCCTGCAGGGTATCAAAACATATGTTGAGATTCATAGCCAAACTTTTTGCAGTGTGCAGGAAATCTTATGAAGAAAGGGGGAAATAGAAAGACCTGGAGGGAACAGGAGCCCCACAAGGAGAGCAACAGAGCCAAAAAATTTGGCACAGGGGTCTTTTCTGAGATTGATACTCCAACCAAGGACCATTCATAGAGATAACCTAGACCTCTACACAGATGTAACCCATAGCAGCTCAGTGTCCAAGTTGGTGCCCTAGTAAGAGAACAGGGGCTGTCTCTGACATGAACTGATTGGCCTGCTCTTTAATTACCTCTCCCTGAGGAGGGAACAGCCTTAACAGTCCACAGAGGAAGACAATGCAGCCTGTCCTGAAGATAACCTGATAAGCTAGGGTCAGATGGAAAGGGAGGAGGACCTCCTCTATCTTTGGACTGGGGGAGGAGCATAGGAGAAGAAGAGGGAGAAGGAGTAGGATAGGGAAGGGATGAGGAGGGCGCTACAGCTGTTAAACTGTAATTAATAAAAATAAAATAAAAAATTTTTAAAAATGTCCTTTCTATTTTTAAAAAAGTTAAAGGTGATTATTCTTGCAAATGAAGATTATTTATGTACATATAAAATCTTATTCATAACATGAATAAAAGTCTAACTGGATTATAGAAAACAAACAATTTTGCAGTGTCAGTAAAGTTTACTGCAGTCATCTCTATACATCATAGGAACATTCTGTGCAGTCAAGATTATTTCTTTTTCATTAGGTTGGTACAATCCATATTTCTAGGACGATTTTCAACAATATTTGGTAATGGGAGGAGTGTGGTTGTATAATGAAACTTTTCATAAGTGAAAGCAAACCTAGACTTAATAATATTCAGTGTGGCCATCATAAAGACAGCTAACACTGATTCATTTGATCTTCTGGTTTACTGTTGCCACAAGGTTTCTGACTTCTATCATGAAATTTGTATAAGTTTGCTAGTTTTTTTTTTTTTTTAACAAATGGACTGGTTTTGTATGTTTAGTGACCATAGTAAAAAGTTCACATTTGTACAGCAGTGTGAAGGTCTGTCATGTGCTTCCTATTTTCAGCCATGAAGAATTTAGACACAATGATGGAAGTTGTATTAGAGGACCAACGGATAAAATGGTGTCTGAGTGTGTGTGTGTGTGTGTGTGTGTGTGTGTGTGTGTGTGTGTGCTCTACATGCTTTTTTAAGATAATGATTGCTCTCTAGACATTGATTATTGTTATCTTATTTTCATATTTTTTTATATTTTCTTATGAGCTATAATCACTTTTTCTCTCATTTTGTTAAATATTGCATTTTTCTCTTTATAGTAAATATAGCTCCACTGTTCAAGTTCATATATTCAAATTGAATAGAGAATAAATGTAATCTCTTCATTTTTCTATAGCCATTATTTCTAAAGATTACAAAATAGTCTTATTTTTTAAAACTAAATTTATGTATGAAGAGGTTTATTAAGGAGTTTTTTTTTTATATTTTCTGTATCATTAATCAGGGGCCAACAGAGAAGAAATAACAAAACATTGGGACTGGTTGGAACAAAATATCATGAAGACTTTATCTGTGTTTGATTCAAATGAAGATATTACTAACTTTGTACAAGGCAAAATAAGAGTAAGTGGAATGGATCAGTACATTAAGAAGATGTGGTATATAGTCACAGCAGAGTTTTATTCTCCCATAAAGAAGAAATAATGTCATTTGCAGAAGATGTATAGAATGGAAGATAACTTTGTTGAGCAAAATAAACTAGATGCAAATTCAGGTAGCCCATGTTTCTTTCATATCCAGAATTTAAATCACACACACACAGAGGCATGCACGCATGCACGCCTGCACAATACAAAGTGAAGAACAGCACTGCTTGAGAGAAGGAAAGAAACTAATGGGAACAGAAAGAGAAATGGGAACAAGATGAAAAACAAATATTTCTCTCATATACAGATTTAAATATATGTTAATATCTATATTATAGAGAGAAAAGGTAAAAAGACAAATATTGCATGTTTCTCATGCACAAATTTAAATATATGTGTATTAAAATTTATATTGTATACATATATATGACATTGAAATTGAGAGTAGGAAGGGGTCTGTGGGAGTGGAGATGGGGGGACAAGAAAGGGTTGTGGAGGTGAATTATGAGCAAACTACAGTGATGTATATGTATGGAAATAATGGAACCCAGTATTTTATATGTATTTCTAAACAATAAGAAATTATAAAAATAATTTTACTTCGGTTTCCTCATTGCTTAGCCAGTTGGTATGAGTTCTAATCCCTCCAAATAAAAAGACACATGACTTCAAAAAAGAATATGGGATATGGATGTATTCTGTAAAAGGAATACTAAATCTTCAGCCCTCTTCTGTAAAGATAGGTGACATGGAAGGTCACCTATTAGCACTTTTCAGGACTTTTAGAAGCACATGTATGAATGCCAGGATAAGTGCCTCAGAAAATTGTACAGTGGTTCTGTTTTGGTGCTCTTGTGAATATTCCTGTTGGTATTTTCATTTCACTATTTCTTAAATTGGATTTTGAACAAAGCTTTTGTTTATCCAGAAGATGTGTGATGCCTACTTTTGTGAAGCTTCTTATAAAGAGAAAAACACTAGTATAAAACTGAATATAATGCTCATCTCTATCCTAAGAGAAGTATGTATACACACACACACACACACACACACACACACACACACACACACACACA